ATCTAAGGCTATTACAAATGGCGCGGGTCCACATCGCCAAAATTAAACCGGACCCGATTTGACAGAAAAATAAAGAAAGCAAATAAAAGTGCGAGAAGTTTAAGTTACAACGCTTTGGGAGAGATACATAATTATTTAAGCAATAAAATAAATACGCAAATTAAACAATTAAAAATATGGGCGTTGGACCCTTTTGCAAAAAATTAAAATTAATAATGGAATTAAAATTAAGAATTAAAAGAAAATGTTTTTGGTGTTTTTATGCTTTTTAAGATTTAATAAAAAAAAGGATTAATTACAAATGAAAATTGGATGCAAACCCTAATTCTAATGGCTTTTAAGTTTATTGTGAAAATATTAAATTGAAACCTAAATTAAACCTAAATTCTTTTATGTGCAATTTAATTATGAAAATAAAATAATATTATTATAAAAAAAAGAAAAATTAAAAGGAATAAAAATTATCAATTAAACCTAAATTCTATGTTTTTTATATTTTATTATGAAAAGAATTAAAGTGGCAACCTAAATTAATACTAAATTAATTTACATGCTAATTTATTTACAAGAAAATATTAACATAAAAATTATTTATTATATTTTGTCTTTTCTGAGTTTTAAGCCTTTTTTGCATTTTGTAAAATAATTGATCAAATTAAAAATAATAAAGAAAATAAGATAACAACTAAAAAATAAGAAAGACAAAAAAATAGGAAATTGCAAACCAGTGGGGGGTTCAGTCCCAATTGTGAGGTGTTGATCCAATAAATTGAGCCCAATCTTGCAAGGCCTGATTGACTTTTGGACAAGCGTGTGGTGCGTTGACTGGGAGTGTAGCGTGTTCATCCATCCTGTGCCTTTGATCTGAATATGATAGACGCGTGGACGTTTGGATGAGGGAGGCATATGGTACGTCTGAACATTAGCGCTGCATAGGAAGATATATAGCAAAATAATATTGAAATTATACAGACCTGGGACTCGAACCCAGGTCTTGGATGTTGAAGCCTTCAACGTTTGCCAGCTGAGCTACACACGCATTCATTTAATATACAAACAAAAAAATAATATAAAAGAAGCAACGCTTTAATGGATTGAAAACGCGTGAAATTCAAAACAGCGAATCAACGCTTTCCACGTGATCATCTTCCTCACGTGTTTTCTTTTTTTTCTGAAACAAGACTGTATGGCAACGGTTTTAGGCGCGTGGCTTTAGGCATGTTTCCAGAAAATAGCGACTAGCCCCTCAACGCTCATAAATTGAGCGCGAGGGTTCCATCATCTTCGTCTTCAAGCGCTGAGTCCAATGGTAGTGGCCTTGAAGCTTAATTTTGCCTTATTGCAAAAGCCCTAAATTCAAACTCTGAAAAACCTAGAGATCGATCATGGTGAAATCTCATATACAAGACAAAAATCAAATTGAATGCATTGGTTAGTTTCAGGACAAGATGATAAACATGAATCAACAATTAATTTTCATAAAAAATGCCTAGAATATGATATGCGATTATGAGTTTCATGCTGTACAGTTCCAGTTTAATCTACCAATTCTTGAGGTTTTGGTTGTTGTTTTTGATTGGAATGCGTTCAGGGGATCACAAGGAAGCTATTGGAAAAGGAATTAAGCTTTGAATCGCCCTAGAACACTGATTTCAGTTTTGAGTTTTATGGAGTTTTTTTCAAGTTTGTATCTTGTTCTTCTGCGCAGCTTTCAGCCTCTATGCATTAGGGTTCTCTTTGTGCTTATGTAATGAGGCTATTAGGTTAAGAAAATTGATGAAAATCCCTTGTAATCTTTGATTGAAGATTTGATTTGCTTAAGGATCTTTTTGAATCTTTTTCACATGTTCTTGTATCAATTTGCATCCAATCACCCCAAATCTTTCCTAATTTGCCTTTACACGAAATATTGACCTTAAAACATGTATAAAAAGATTGGTTTGGTTAATTTAAACATTTTTCATATATTTAATTGATTTAATTGAATTAATATAAATAAAAATCCAAATAAATAAATAAAAAATGAGAAAATTCTTCCCTTTGGGCCAAGTGGTCGTGCATATGCTTAGAATGATGAATCATGGAAGAAAAATGGGCCCATTAGCATTTTTAGGTCATTTGCATCAATGTTGACTTTTCAAAATATCCAAAAATTTCCCAACTTCCACAAGGCATAACTTGCTCAATGTTTAAGCTTTTCTCATGTTCTTGGACATTTTGGAAAGGTCTTTGAGTCCTCTAACCAATGCCTTTGGTCCCATGTCATTTTGATTTACCAATCTCAAGTTATGGCCTTTGACTTAAAGTCCCTTTTTGTTGACTTTTGAAAATGACCTATAATGTTGAAATTGATAACTTTTTGTGAGAGCATTTCTTGGACTTGAAGTATGAAGATGAGTTGTAGGAAATGTCTTTCTCTTCAAAATGAGCTTTGGATGGAATTTTTCTGATAATCCATGTGAAAGTTATGCCCTGGTCAATTTCAGTTGACTTTTTCAGCTGTCCAAATATAGTAACTTTTGCATCTTTGATGATTTCTGAGCCAAATTTTGAGAATCATGATCAAGCATTGATCAAATGATGTTTGTGGCTTCAAAATGATATATTGACCAAAAATTTGGACTTTTGACTGTCAAATGACCATTTTGCCCCTACAGTTGACTGTAGTGCAATTTAGGGTTTTGACTGTGCAATTTTGAGCTGAATGTCTTGAAACTTGATATGAGGATACTTGACCACCTTTGTAGGCATATGGGACTTGGTTGGGCCTTTGAAAACTTCATTTTCTTGATCAGAACACAAACCCTAGTTTTGACTGTATAGGAGACAGTTGGACTGTGCAACCCTTGGGGAGTTTTGTGACTTGGCTTGGCAATTTCTTGGAGAATATGGGAGGGAAAATTTTGGGGTGCAACAGTTGCCCCTGTTCAATCTTCTTAGACCTGAGGATGCAGATTGGCTGACGTGCCTTTCGTAATCCGAGGGTGGAAGATGATTGAACACTAAAGTGCCCAGAAATTTGCGCTCACATAGTAGCAGTATGATGGGAATGGGCTTATAGATGCCATCTGAATGTCGGTTGCGTGGGAGATTCCTTGGTGAGAACCTGCATACCTGCAAAAGAAAAAAATGAGTACCCGACTGTCATACCCTAATTTTTGACCTAAGATCCCGCATTCCATCCGCATCATTACATAGCAAGTGTTCACAGGCGATTCGACCTATTTTTGCCAATTCCCGAATCAGATTTCAAAAATTCATAACTTCTTCAAGTTTCAATATTTTGAGGGGTTATTTTTTTGCATATGATTTTTCTTGACACCATCTACAATTTTTCTTTACAAGACAAGAGATGATTATGCATTGAAAAGCCACGAAAAAGTTATTAACGTTCGAAGTTGTTTCACGAATTTAATGGAATTTGATTCTTAATTTTGGACTATATTTTATCCGACCATAAATTTTACACTTTCTCTTCTTTTATTTTTAATTCCATGAAAAAAATCCTAAAAAAATATTTAGTTCATGTCATCTTAATTTTATTTACATTATTATTCAAAATATCAAAAAAAGTAGTCTCTTCAAGTTTCATTTAGATTTTTATTCTTAAGTCAAAATTATAGTCTTCTAGATTCAATTTAGTCAAAATCTAAAAAAAAAAAAAACATGTCTTAGCATTATTTTATTTTTAGCATTTCACTTTAATCACAAAAATATATAGTTAATATCTTTTCCTTTTAATTCTTTTAGTTATTATAATTTTCATTTCTTTCTTTCAATATTAATCTTGATTTGGTTCTAATTTTAATTCAACTTTTTAGTTGAGTTATTATTAAAATTAAAATTAATTTTAATTTCTCTTTAATTTTCATGTTTTGGAAATTTTTAGTTTAATATTTTTATTTTTTGTTATTATTATTGTTATTATTATTATTATGCTATTGTCCCTATCCTAACTTTCCATAAAACCCAAACATGCTACACAACAAAACTTGCTGCTACTTCACTCCAAAAAACCTGCATAAAAACCAGTCTGCAAACAACCTTTTTACTACCTTTGCTGTCCAAAAAGCTTGCCCAAAATGAAATCATAAATCCCTGCATCAAGAAAGCATAAGGAAGTGGACATAAACTAGAATTCAGATGATATTTGGCTCCATTTTTCCCTCCAATTCTATCATACATTCACTTTAAAAACAGAAGCAAATGGTGAAGAGTAGAGAGGAGGTTGTCACCTAATTCCTGCAATAGCAGTAGGAGAAAAAGAAACAAAAACAAACCTTCAAACTCCCTCCACCCAACAACACTCCCTCTCATATTCTATTTCTCCACCCTTGTTTTCCCTTCCACCACTGCCTTACAGTTCGCCACCACTACCAACCACCGCTAACCTCCGCAGAAATTTGCATCTTCATCTGTTGAACCATTTAGGATTAGAGATATGGGTAAGAAAAACAAAACAAGGAACGAAAACAAAGCCCCTTGACTCTCTTTGTTTCCAACTTACCCTACTCCTTTACAAATCCTCAGCTTGAGGAAACCTTCAGTGAAGTTGGACCTGTTAGGCGTTGCTTCATGGTCACACAAAAAGGGTCTACTCAACACCATGGTTTCAGTTATGTCCAATTTGCTGTTGAGGCTGACGCTAACAGTGCCATTGAGCTGAAGAACGGTTCATTAGTTGGTGGCCGAAAAATTGCAGTGAAGCACGCAATGCCCCGTCCTCCTCGTGAAAAATAGAAGATTGAAACCAGATCAAGAGGGCAAGGAAGATGATCTCACAGAGTCAAAAATTGTTGATAAAGACAGTGAATTACCTGTTGCAGAGAAGCTGTTCCAGTTCCAAAGGAATAAGTGATAGTTTTGAGTAAACAAAAAAAAACTCAAGGAAGCCTGTGGAAATAAAAAAGCAGCACTGTAAGCAGAAGAACCATAAGTTGAGAATCCACTTGCAGCACTTTGAGGTTGCATATACCTACTAGAATCAGAACGACCATCATATGCTTGTTGGTTTCCATCGGAAGCCCCATACCCTTGATAACCACCCATTCTGCCACTACCGCCTCCTCTTCCGTTTCACCTTCATCTTCAATTTACCATCCATCATCTCTTCTACCCATATTACCGTAACCACCACACAGCAACTCCACCCACCTGCTCATACCGGTACAACACCATCATCGTTCCGCCTAGCCTCCGTCTCAACACCAACCTTCATCACCTCCGTCCTTACCCATCCGCGCCGCCACCTTCGACCGACTCCTCCAACTCCCGCCGCAAATAGATCTGCACCGACAGCCCTCCGCCACCCGCAACCGTCTCCGCATCGAAACTATAGGTCGGTACCGTCCTTCATGTTTGGTTCTTGAAATATTGGGTTTTGGTGTTGTATTGCGAAGAGAAGAAAAGTAGGTAGTGAGATAAACTTTTTTTCCTGACTTTGTTTCAACTATATTTGTGTTACATTTTGTTTGATTTTTATTTTTTGTTATAATGTTTCGCCACGTGTCAGCTCCTCATTGGACCTATTTTTTCAAAGCAATTTTTAAGGGATGGAGGGGTGTTGAAATGTTGACCGAGTATTGATGATGGAGTAGGCATGCTCACATTTTTTTTTATTATCATTATTACATTAGCTTAGGATTAATTTTAGTTAGTTTTGAAATAGGTACACTATATTTTAACCTAACAGTAAACCTCATTATGTACAACTAATTTTTATTTTTCAATTTTTCAATTTTTAGTTTTGATTTAAGATAGTAATTTTATTATTAAATAGTTTAGATTAACTTAGTAATTTTATAATGAATTTAGTTTATACTTAAACTAGTTTAGATTTAATTTAACAACTTTAGAATTTTAATTTTACAATTTAGTAATTTTATAATTAACTTAATTTATATTTAAATTAGTTTAGATGTAATTTAGTAATTTTAGAGTTTTAATAGTTTTAGAATTTCATTTGATTTAGATTTAATTTAATAACTCTAGAATCTTTATTCGATTTAGATTTAATTTAGTAACTTTAAAATTTTCATTTTGGTTTAGATTAAATTTAATAACTCTAGAATTTTTATTCGATTTAGATATAATTTAGTAACTTTAGAATTTTATTTGTTTTAGTTTTGACTTAGTAAACTTTATAATTTTTGTTTAGTTTTATTTTAGTAACTTTAGGATTTTATTTCATTTAGATTTGACTTAGTAAATTTTAGAATTAGATTTTTATTCCATTTAGATTTGACTTAGTAAACTTTTAGAATTTTATTTGATTTATATTTAGTTTAGTAACTTTGGAACTTTCTTTGTTTTAGGTTAGCAACTTTGGAATTTTTATTTAGTTTAGATTTAATTTACTAATTTTAAAATTTTTAATCTAGTTTAGATCTAACTTAGTAATTTTAGAATTCTAATTTATTTTAGATTTAATTTATTAACTTTAGAATTTTAAGTTAGTAATTTTATAATTTTAATTTAGTTTTAGTTATTAACTTTGAAATTTTATTCAATTTAGTTAGACATTTTAGAATTTAAGTTTAGTTTACTTAATAACCTTAGAATTTCAAATTAGTTTAGATAATTTTTTAATTACACTTTTCTTTTATTCATGATTCTTCTTTGTCCATTCATTTAGTTTCTTACAATTTATCTTGTTATCTACCTTGTTCGTTTCTCGTGGATTTTAATTATTTATGATTTCTTACTCGAATATTAGATCTACCTGCTTATGATTAACTCCAAGGGAAAGAATTAAATTTGTTGACTTCATGTCAGCAAATATATCTAATACGATCAAGCGAACACCCCCATTCATTTTTTTCCTATTTACTATTTTTTCCAAAAAAATTAAGTCGATTTTCCTAAAAAATTCAAATTTCAAACTCACACCTTTTAAGTCAAAACTTCGACACTAGGTCGTCGTATCTTCAAAAATATCGTCCATACCCATCTTTAACCAAACAAACCATTTTAATCAAACAAACAATTTTAACCAAAAAACAGATATTTCAAAAGGTTCCTGTGGAGTACCGCAGATGCATTGGGTGCTAATACCTTCCCATTGTATAACCAACCCCCGAACCATAGACCTCTTTTCAAAAACGCCTTGTATTTTCATTACTTTTAAAAGTATTATTTTACATTGCATACTTTAGGGTTTTATTTCGCTCTTTCCCCTTTTCCCTTGGAAATAATAAAGCGCGGTGGCGACTCTTGCTTTTTGCGAGTCAAGTTAATTAATAGCTTGATCTCCGATTTTCACCGCTACACCGACACGTTGCAGGAGCTGATCTTTAGATGCTTGGTATAGATGTGTCCTGACTGGTTACAGGAGCTGAATCTGGAGCTTCAGACGCTGAGGAATGAACCAGGTATGGTTACTGCCTTAGCATGAATGGTAAGAGAGCCTTGGGTGATTTTAACTTCAACAACGCTCGTTGAGAAAAATCTTAGCGGGAATTACCATCTTTGCAGTATCGGGAAGAGAACCATAGGCAATTATAATCTGAAAGGGAATCACCTCACTCGCCGTCGGAGAGGGAATCATAGGAAAAGGAATTGTCACCTCACACACCGTCGGAGAGGGAACCACAGGGGGCTATCACCTCACACTCATCGTCGGAGAGGGAAACATCTGAAAAGGAATTACCACCTCACACACCGTCGGAGAGGGAACCATAGGAGACTATCACCTCACACTCATCGTCGGAGAGGGAAACACCTGAGAAGGACTTACCACCTCACACTCATCGTCGGAGAGGGAACCATAGGAGACTATCACCTCACACTCACTGTCGGAGAGGGAAACATCTGAAAAGGACTTACCACCTCACACACCGTCGGAGAGGGAACCATAGGAGACTATCACCTCACACTCATCGTCGGAGAGGGAAACATCTAAGAAGGAATTACCACCTCACACTCATCGTCGGAGAGGGTACCATAGGAGACTATCACCTCACACTCATCGTCGGAGAGGGAAACATCTGAAAAGGACTTACCACCTCACACACCGTCGGAGAGGGAACCATAGGAGACTATCACCTCACACTCATCGTCGGAGAGGGAAACATCTGAGAAGGAATTACCACCTCACACTCATCGTCGGAGAGGGTACCATAGGAGACTATCACCTCACACTCATCGTCGGAGAGGGAAACATCTGAAAAAGGAATTACCACCTCACACACCGTTGGAGAGGGGACCATAACTTCCGCTGAGTCTTTATCAGAAAAATCTGTTGGGAGTCGATTTAGCTGGACCGGACAAGGTCTTGAAATATGTTTGAGCATTTTAACTGCGTCTTTCCTGAAAGGTAAAGGTCAATCATATGCAATGCATGATATGGATCAAGCAATGATGTTCTCAACATAAATGAGATTTGTATGATACGATGCGTCTATGCATGCTATAATGATGTATGTGACGTTTTATGAATATGTTTTTCGTCTAGGAAAGTAAATCCTTGACGGGTGCCGGGAAGTTGTATCCTGGGCTGATGTTGAAGAATAAATTTTGCTTCCACTGGGGATGATAACTGCAAGAATACCGGTAGGAGAAGATGACTCCGTTGCGGAATAAACTTGGCGGATGGAAGATTCTGCGGGGAGAAAAAGATATTCTAGCGACCATGCTGGGAGATAATACTCTGTGGGGATAGAGAAGCTTTGTTGAATGTTGATAGTAGTTTGCTGGGGATAGGAGGACTTTGTCGGCGACGCTCTTTCCGTGGCTTTTGGCTGAGGATAACCCAGTTATATCCTGTTAAGGAAATAACTCTTTGAATAAGACCGGACGACGCGTTCGTGCTCTGCGAGGATAAGCTTCCAGAATATACTGGGGATAAGCTTATTGCTTGGGGATATGAATTCCAACTTTCCTGGGGAACTTGGGTTGGACTCTTCTGGGGAAGTTTTGATATGCTGGGGAAGTGATTCCTTTGAATATTGAGATACCGCCGGGGAACAATCTTTAGGCCAAGACTGCCGGGGATGCTTGTATTGAATATATGTATTGCTGCTGGGGGAGTACTGAGATCTACTGGAGGATACTCAATTTCCTTGAGATTTGATAGCTCTGCTTGGAGAAGAATGCACTTTTGTTGGCTCACTCTCTGGGGAATTCAGGCATACTGGTCATGTTCTTTAGCTGAACCTACCTTGGTACCTTGGAGGATAGAGCAATTGGATTGTTTAGACAACTCTTTTATTGCCCCTGTTTCTAGTGTCACCTGCAAATATTTATGAGTTAGCAAATTATTGTCAATGCATATATCACAAATTGAACCTTGGACGTTCTTCGCAAAACAAAACAAAAAAAAAAGAAAAACACTTGGCACGTTTAACTGAAAATATATTTGTATTGATTTTTGAATGGCCTGAAAATAGGTGTTTTGTGTACAAGAGGTTGGCGTCCTAGTAAGAGGTACGCCGCCGAACAAGAGAGTTTATACAAATTTTGTACAAAAGAAAATAAAACAGCTGTGTGAAGTATGAATGATCCCCTGGGTTTCAACTCTGCTATTGTCTTTATAACTCCGAGCGTCTCATCACTTGATGACCTTGGTTGAAGGTGAAGCTGACTGATCGATGCCGTCTGAACTTGATGTAGATACCGGATTCTGGATGCAAAGTGATCCAATGAGACATAGTATTACGCTTTTATCCCTGATTTTTGCCTGGACCGCCCTTTCGGGTTTTCAGTCCACCGGGATACCCATTTTTGCCCAAGCCGCCTTTTCAGGTTTTCGACTTGCCGGGTGTACAGATTTTTTTCATTTTCATCCCTTCATTTTGCCCGAACCCTTTTGGTTCGACGGGAAGCCCTAATTTTTGCCTAGGCATGTCAGCCTAGCGGGTCTTGTTTTCATGCATAGTATTTTTTAACTATGTCTGCATTGGCGGGGTGAGGAAGGTCGTCACCGTCCATATTGGTTAATATCATTGCTCCTCCTGAGAACACATGTTTAACCACAAATGGCCCTTCGTACGTAGGGGTCCATTTGCCCCTTGGATCACTCTGAGGAAGGATGATTCTCTTGATTACCAGATCCCCAACTTGATATTCCTGAGGTCTGACCTTTTTGTTAAATGCCCTGATCATCCGTTTCTGATACGTCTGACCATGACAGATAGCAGCAAGTCTCTTTTCGTCAATGAGGTTGAGTTGATCCAGTCGTGTCTGGATCCAATCATCTTCGTTCAGATTTGCATCCTTCATTATCCGGAGAGAGGGTATTTGCACTTCGATCGGCAAGACTGCCTCCATGCCATAAACCAGAGAGAAAGGAGTTGCCCCGGTTGACGTCCTAGCTGAGGTACGGTACCCATGCAGAGCGAACGGTAACATCTCGTGCCAATCTTTGTAAGTC